CAATTTCATACTAAATTTAAAAACTATAATTAGTATTTATTCATATATTATATTTTAAAATCAAAGAACTACTAATCAGGATATAATTAAAGAAATAAGAGTTGATGTTGCTTTTGGAATAATCCACCAATTTCCTACTTTAAAAAAAAAAAAAAAATTGGTCGGGAATTTTTTCTGCTATTCGCTAAAATTACTCCTTCGTTGACTAGAATGAATCATTAAATAGAAAATTTTATGAGAATTAAAACAATATTATTTTTAAGATTAATATGCAGTCAGGAAATTTTTTAATTACTATTTACAGTATATTTATCAGAAAAACTCATTATTTTTTTGCATTTTTATCGTAATAGAACACTTAAATAGAAATCATAATATCATTTATAAGTAATTTTTGGTATTTAAAAAGATTCTACAATCTTAAAGTAGATTTTTGTAAATGTTTATAATAAAAAAAAATAATTTATTTTACCATAACTTTTAGCTCAATTGGCAAGTTTGACATTGACATCATTAAATAGAAAATTTTATGACAATTAAAAAAATTGTATCGTTAAGATCAATATGCAGTCAGAAAGTTTTATAACTGCTATTTATTGTAAATTTATCAGAAAAGCTCAATATTTTTTTGCATTTTTATCGTAGTAGATAACTTAAATAGAAGTAATAATAATAATTTCCTAGTAATTTTTAGTGTATGAAAAGATTCTGCAATTGAAATATCCAGAACTGAATTCATTTTAATGATTTACTTTAACTAAATGAACCAATCAAAACAAAGTTGTTAAAAAGATTTACTCAATTGAGCGTATTATAAAATTTGATTATATTTGTAAAAATCAATTGTTAATTCAGGAGAAAAAACAATCATTTTTTTTAGAAATGATTTATATAGCAACATGTTACAAAAAAATTTGTGATATTATAGTCTAGTAGTAGCACACACGAATAGAGTAAAAAAATTATTAAATTACAAAGTAAAATGATTTAATTTTGTAGTTGAAACCTATCATATCAAACTTCATTCGTTAATAAATATTTTGAAAACATTAGAAATTAATGATTTTAATTGTCTTTATGGAGAACATGTAATAACTAACTGTTTAATTGATTTTTCAATTTTTGAGGATAATATCTTCAACTAGATACGAATTGTAGTCATTTGACGTATCATTGAAAAAAGTAGGTCAAGTTAGAACAGAGAAAATAAATGATAGTCACAAAAAAATATCTTCTCAGCTTTGCATCGAAGCTAATAATTAAAAAGAATTAAGAAATAATGCAAAAAATTCATTGCCATACGCAGGTTGGAACCTCGTACCCCAAGCGTGTAAAACATAAATTTTGACAACCATGCTCCCGTCGGGTGAAAAAATTGGCTATTTAAGCTAGTTCAAATTTCAAAGTTATTTTTCTCGACTTAAAAGAAGCAAACAAATTTAAATAAGTTTAACTTTCTATGCTATATTAATTTTTTATTTACATAATATTTATAGAAATATGTACTCCCCTTGTCAGGTATTTTAAAATAAAATAAAATAAAAAACCCAGAATTTTAACACAAAAATAGCAAATTTTTGAATACGGTAGTCATTTTTACCATGAAGACAAATCCAGAGGTCAAATTTTTTTTTTTTTAATTAAAATATATTATATAAGCTTTAATTTAAGATATATATAAAAGTGTCAGTCTTTCCGGAACATTTTCAAAAGTTAAGTTGAAAAAGTTCTACTTTCTATACGCATTTTAAAAGGTTTGCACCCCCCCTGTATAAAGGGAAATGGTCCGATTTAAAAAAAAAGTATGTCGAATGAAAGAGGTATATATAAAGTATTTATTATTAAAAAATAGAATTGAGTCATGCATTTTTTAAAAAGTTATAGCATTATAATGTTAAAAAATGTAAAATACAATATCAAGAATTTTTTCAAAAAAATAGCATATTTTTGCATACGGTAGTCATTTTTACCATGAAGACAAATCCAGAGGTCAAATATTGTTGACATATTGTTTATCAAAATCGGTCCAGCAAGAGCTGAGATTGAAAAACATATCATAGTAAAATTAATACCTTCTCAGCTTCGCATTGAAGCTAAAAAATTTGTCCTGACACCTTTTTTTCTATAGGAAAATGACCATCGAATGTAACGAAACATAACTTTTATGTAAAAATCGCTGTTTAACATAAAATATTTTAAAACTTAAAACAGCTATAACTTTTTGAAAAATGAACAAATTAAAATTATTTTTTTAAAATTGAAACCTTAGATATTTTACATAGATCATATTTTACATTTTTCTATCATTTGATATAATTTTTTTGAAAATCTGACTCTAAACCTGTGCACAGGGAGAATTCAAAAAAACATATTTTTGCACACAAGTTAAGCTTTTTAAATTTTTGAAAATGATCCAGAAATATTGACACTTTTTTTTAATCATAAATTAAAGCTTATATCATTATTTAGAATAAAGTTCGTAAGGCATAAGAAGTTCAACTTATTTAAAATATTTTGCTTTTTTAAAGTCGAGAAAGTAACTTTAAAATTTGAATTAGCTTAAATTGCTCATTATATTAAATGACGAACAGTTGCTGAATCAGTAACACTTGTATATATTTCATGATTAGGGTACCAGGTTCGAATCCGCCTGTGGCATTTAATATTTTGCATTTTTTTTAAGTTAGAAAAATTTTAAAATCAATTGATTTTTATCTCATTTAGATTCATTAACTTCAATAAATATCAAGGATCTCATCACTGTAGTCTCCTCTCATGAGAAGAAATTTCTTATTCATGTTAATATTATTTTACTATGTGTTTCATTTTGTGGCTGCGATTTATTTTTTCAACCCTCAATTAACCTACTTTTTTGAACGATATGTAAAATTACTATAATTTGTATTTAGTTGAAGATATTACCCTCAAAAATTGAAAAAAAATCCCTTAATCAAATAAAAAATGTCTTAAACAGCTTTATCCGTACAAACAAACAAAATGATTCATTTCTAATAATTTTAATGTATTTTTTGCTGAATTAAATTTGATATGATAAAAGTATTCAAATGCCAAAGTAAATAATTTTACTTTGTAATTTATTAATTTTTTAACTCTGTTTGTGTGTGTTACTAAGTCTTTAACATTCGAAATTTTTGGAATATTATAGATTGTTAATATTTTTTGGTAACATGTTGATATATAAATCACAAATCTAAAAAAAAAAATGATTTTTAGTTTCACCTGAATTTAACAATCAATTTTTACAATTATAATCAAAATTTATAATTCGCTCAATTGAGTAGTTCTTTTTAACAACTTTTTTTTCATTGGTTTTTTTAGTTAAAGTAAATCATTAAAATTAATTCAGTTATGCATGTTTCAAAGTTAATTAGAAATGATTACTATGATTTTTATTTAAGTGATATATTACGATAAAAATGCAATAAAATCGAGCTTTACTAATAACTTTACTGTAAATAGTAATTATATAATTTCCTGAGTGCATATTAATCTTAACAATACTATTTTTTTCTATTTAATTACATCAATTTGAAACTTGAAAGTTGAGCTAAAAGTTATGATAATAAATTCATTTTTTTTTTTATTATAAACTTTTACTTTAAAGGGCAATAAAAAGTAGATTAAAAGTAATTTCTTTTAATATATTAAAAATCAAAATCATTAATAATTTGAAAACAATTAATTATAAAAATGATATAATATATAATTAAAAATTTCATTATTATATAAATATAAATTATATTTTTGAATCTTAGAATTACTAATCATGTTATAAATAAGAAAATAGGAGTTCATTTTGCTTTTGTAATTATTCATCAATTTATTAGAATTAAACAATTACAGATTGCATCGAAGTTTTTCTAAATATAGTGATTTTAATCACTGTCAGATTAAATCTACACTGGACCCAACTATGCAACCTCCTCACTGTGCCACGACCCCACTGTGCTGGATTTTTACATTGAAACCATAGATAATGGTCTTTCATTTGATATAACTTTTTTGAAAATCTGACCCTTTATCTGCTCACATGGAGGGATTCAAAATAGCAACTTCTGCACAAAAATTTAAGTTTTATACTTAAGTTTTGAAAATGTTTCGATAATACTCTGAATTTCAAATGTATGTTAAAATAAAGATAATGGTATGCACTGTTAGTTAAAAAAAAAAAAATTTATCCCACGACTTATCTTTTATGTGCAAATTGTTGCCGTAGATAAAAAACATGCAATTTTGGTGTTAAAATTTACGATTTCATATTTTATTTTTTCAACTTTAAATTACTAAAACTTTTCGAAAAATGTAAGGATCAATACAATTATTTTTTCATTAATACTTTATCTTTACTTCTTTTATTTGATGTACATTTTTTGAAAATATGACTTTTGACCTGACCACAGAGGGGATTCAAAATAACAATTTTTATACATAAGTTAAACTTTTTCAACTCAATTTTTGAACATTTTCCGGAAATATTAACAATTTTGCTTTTCTACAAATTTGCATTGAAGCGTTTTTTATGATAGTGATTTTAATCACCGTCAGATATCATCTATACTAGTCCCAACTGTACCATGCTCACAAAATGCCGCAACCCCACTGTGCTATTGTTTTTTAAATTAAATTTATAAAATTGTTAAATTTATCAATTATTTTTATATTATATTTATTTTATTTTTTGTTTACAACACATATAATTAGATTCTAAAAATTCTTAACTGCTCAACAAGCCTAATTTACAAAGGCAATCATTTTACTCAAATGTTTATATATTAACATGAATGTATCACTGTGAAATTTAATATTTATTTACCCTGTTGTCTAAACTTTAATGATAATAAATTCAATTGAATAGGAAAAATTTTATGGAAAGATATATTTAGAAAAATAGCTGTCCAGTATTGGTAAGGTCTGATAATATAAAATGCATCAAATTAAAAATTTTTTGTTTTCAATCAATACTTAACACAATTAGTAAGTATATTTTGTTATACTTTTAACATTAAGTGGTTAAAAATGTACATATGTTTCAATGTAATATTGAAGTGTGTATACATTATTTAACAATAATTTTACTTTTAATAATTGATTATTTTTTTAAAGATATACCACATAAAAAACAAAAAAAAAAACAGTTTCCTTCTTTTACATTATAAATTTACTCAAAAATTTTCCGGAACATTATATTATTAATTTTGATATTTAGAATTCTACTCACCGTTCAAATTGATCTAATTTTGTAAAATTGGTGTCATGGCATAAACTACACTTTTGCCATAGTGGTTTTTTATTTACAACTTTTTCCATTGCACCACTTACATCCTTAGAGTTATTTTAATTATATTATAATAAATTATATTTATCAAATTATATCTAAAACCACAATTAACAAAAAAAAAATATATCTTTTATTATTTGTAATAGTTTATAGAGTTAAGGTGGTTTAAATTGACTACGTTATCACCACAGACTATATGAATACAGATAGTTCACTCGGTCCGATAACAAAACAGTGTTCTGATTGGCAGCGGATCAATCAGTGCAAGCATATTTATAAGCGCATAATTTCTTTTATTATTAAATCTGCTGTAACATAAATATTATAAAATTCTGTAAAAAAATGAATATAGCTTAAAAAAACTGAAAAACACGTTTTTAAAGCTATATTTATTTTTCACTTTTTAGTTTTTTATGACATTGCTGTTACAGTCGCGGAGCGTTTATTGTCAATTATCACTATCAATAGATATAATTTCTGAATTGCCAGTTAGTGTGTTTATTAACTCACAACAATCTGTCTTATTACCATTGATAATAAAGTATATATGCTTGCTAATATCGTCATAAAAAAATATAGTTTAAAATAACTAAAAAAACACGCTTTTAAAGCACATCGAGCTAAAAAATTAAAAANAAAAAAACACGCTTTTAAAGCACATCGAACTAAAAAGTTAAAAATAATTTTTAAAATAAGTTTAAAATAATTATGAACAAAAAATACTAGTATTATTGTGATAAAAGCATCGGGCGCTCAATATACGAAAAATATGGTACAAGCACCCACGCTTTTATCACAATAATACTAGTATTTTTTGTTCATAATTATTTTAAACTTATTTTAAAAATTATTTTTAACTTTTTAGTTCGATGTGCTTTAAAAGCGTGTTTTTTTAGTTATTTTAAACTATATTTATTTTTCACTTTTTAGTTTCATGTTATGATAGTAGTTACTATCAATATCATGGTTGTAACGGGTAACGGGAAATCAGGGTTCGATTCCGGGGAGGGTGTCTGAGAAACGGCTACCACATCCAAGGAAAGCAGCAGGCGCGTAAATTACCCACTCCTGGAACATGGAGGTAGTGACAAAAAATGACGATACTGGATTCATCCTTTGTAATCGGAATGAATGAGTTCTATATCTCTAAATAAGAATAAAGTGTGTTAATATATTGTAGTAATACAAAAAATAAGCAAAAAACGGTGAATGGGGAATTTTATTTGACCAAGGTTGGATGTTAGGGATTTGGTCAATTCAGGAGCAACGAGGTTCTATCGGGGTAGTAGAGTCCGAGGGTTTAGAACAGTAAAGACAAGTAGATATAAAAAGATACAAATTAAGTTCCTCTCATAGAGGTATTAAAACGCTGAGGTATTCTTGTAGTGGCCGGGGTCTTGGCCTCCTATCTGACACCCAGTCGAAGCGTGATGTTAACTGGTATGTGCTTTAGTGGAAATACTGAGGCGTTCATGGAGTGGCGGAGGCCTCCTCTCAGACACCCAGTCGAAGTATATGACCAAGCACTAACTAGTTATTAATAATTAAATTAAATGATGTTTAAAAAATCTATTGCTTTACCATTCTTTACTCAGATTATTAATTCTAAATAATTGGGTTAATATAAATTTACTTACTTCTTTTATATATCTCACGTTCAGATTTATACTTTTCCTTATTAATAAATAAATAACGTATTGACGCAAAAATAATTGTACTTGAAATCGCTATAAAATATACCGACGACAACACGGGGTCGCGGCTAGTTTGTTCAAAATAAATCAAATAGAAGAATCCTGAATTCTTTATTGAATTCAAATCTTCAAAAAGAAGAGAGAATTCTGCTCTCTTAGAAAATCAGCGCCTTTTTATATTACTTTTAATTACCCCCATCATGGGTTGTTGCCGTCAGCGCTTTTAGTGATTTTAAGTTTATTGTGTAAAATTTGAACATAACATGATAATTATTTTTAAGATAAGATGCATAGTATACAATAATCAATTTAACATGTATATACATATATAATAGCTAGTGTACAAATGTGTATATGTTATGACAGATAAATCAATTACTTGTGTTGTATACAATTGGTATTAAATATAGAGTAATCATTTTTTATTGATAATGTAAGATGCGTAATGCAGAACATTATGCATATTACGACAATATATTTTTAATAGTAATTAGAATATATATATACATGTAAAGCGACTTAAGTACGTAAACGTGCATTAGGTATAGCCGTGTTTTGTGGGCGGGCGGGTCGGACTAACGTTATACCTGAGGTTGACCTAAGCAGTTACAATTGTTTTTGTCTCTGTATACGAGTACTTAAGGAACCCAACCCAACCAAATACTGGTTCTCGTCAAGCCAGTTCCCTGACTGGAATAGTTTCATGGAACAATTCAGAAAAACGTTTATTGGCTGTGAACTCGACACCGTTGATAAAATTCACCGTATGTCTAATCGGTTACAGCTAAAAAATGACTGTATTTTCGAATACTTCCATCATAAAATGCAGCTTTTCCGCGATATTGATCTCACATTCAATGAGAGCAAGCGACAGGTAGTGGAGGGACAATATTTTCGGGATCTATGTCACTACTTGTTGGCTCGTGACCATAACAGTGAAGATGAATTGTTAACTGACATTCGAAATTACGAAAAAATTAATAATGCTCTTCAAGACTGTTTCCAAACCGAAGGATCGTTAAAAAGTCGGTACTTAAAAAATCGGGTACCAGCCCGCAAGGCTTCGGGGTGGCGTTGAGCCTGGACATCCGAAACGCATTCAACTCCGTGCGATGGTCACACATCCTCGGAGCGCTGGACGCGTTTCGGGTGCCTCCATACCTTGGGCGGATGATCCGGTCGTACTTCGGCGACCGGGTCATCACCTACGAGAGCGGCGCGGACCCGAGAGTTAGACCCGTTACGAGCGGCGTCCCGCAAGGGTTAGTTCTCGGGCCTCTGCTGTGAAACATCGCGTACGACGCGGTGTTCCACGTTCCACTACCACCGCACGTGTGCGTCATCTGCTACGCGAACGACACGCTTGTGGTGACGGAAGGCACTGGACAGGTGGGTGGACCGGACTCACAATGAGATGCTTATCGTCTCAACCAAGTGATGTCCGGCCATGGCAGCTTTAACGAGTAATTACACCGTATTCGCAAAGCAGCCGCGCCGATATGCGACCACTGTTCGTATCGCCCGGGAGAGGCTGACAGCGCTCTGCACACCCTCTTCCGGTGTGAGGCGTGGGCCTATGAGCGGGACTCTTTGGAGTCCCGACTAGGGTCTACGTTCCGAGTCGGGTCCATGGTGGAACTGATGTTGAGGAGCCGGGAAGCGTGGAGGCTCGTCCAGGCGATCACCGAATCCGTTTTGTTAAAAAAGGAGGAAGCGGAACGCCCGAGACAGAGGCATTACGCCGCCCAGCACAGGAGGATCTGAGACGCTGGTTTAAGCCGGTGCCTTAGGTTCTTGTTTTCGTGTTTTGTTTGCGAGTTATTTCGCCAACCCTCCCTAACGTTTCCCACTCTGGGATCCGGTTAACGGGAGGGACCACACCACGTTGCAAATGAGCTCTTGATTAATTTCGGACTGATTTACAACGTGGTGGTGTGAATTATTAAGACAACGTGGGCCGCCCTGAAGTAATGCCTAACAGCAGTTCCAGGGTGGCTCACAATAGGCCGGTCGAGAAAATAAAAAGAGTACCAGCTTACATAGACCTAAAATGTCATTTAATCGAGGCCCCCCTGTCATTGAGTCTAGGTCGCCCAGCCCACCGCTCCAATCTAGTCAATCGACGCCCAGGAGAGCCAGCCGTTTTAGTGATCGAAATGCCAATGTTCGATGTTTTAATTGTGGATCCGTTGGTCATTATTTAAGTTCCTGTCCAGCTCGTCGAGATGAACGTCGTCCACTGTCCAACGATTCCCGCGGTGAGAATGTTTCAATTTTAGAAAATATTTCTAGTTGTTTTGTACTCCCTTTTATGTTAAATGTTAATATTAAGTATCCCAACGGCAATCTTTCTAATGTTATGACTTTTATTGATACTGGTAGTCCAGTCAGCCTTTTAAAATTCAGTGTTGTTCCTTATGTATCTGGTATTACCCCTCCTAAATTTAGTTTAGTAGGTATAAACGGGTCTCAACTATGTGTTGTTGACGAATTCATGGCTGATGTAAACAATGATGATTTGGATGTCCCCATAAGTTTAAATTTTCGTGTTGTACCCAATTAGACCATTAAAAATTATTATTTACTCGGGTGGCCCATAACTGTGTGAATGTGCGTATTGTTGATAGGCAATTTACTATTACATTTAAATCAACCGATAACGTCCGCTTCGACGAAATATTATCGTTAGATTATCGTAACGACGAGAATAATGGTAATGACATTGATATCACTGTCGAGCCTACCTTGCCTTTAAATACCCGACAAAAAATTATTGATGTATATACCAGCAGTTATTTAACTGTCGATAACACGACCGACCTAACTATTGAACTAGATAATCCGCCACAGTTACACATTAAATTAAAAACCGAGGTTCCGATTTATTTCCATCCAAGGCGACTTTCTTTTTTTTTAAAGCAAAAATTGCAATTAATAATTGATGATTTATTACATCGAAATGTAATTAGACCTAGCCATTCAGAGTATGGAAGCCCAATTATTTTAGTAAAAAAGAAAAACGGTGAGCTCCGACTTTGCATAGATTATCGCGAGATAAACAAACATATGGTTAAAAATAGATACCCTTTACCGTTAATCAATGATAATCTCGATTTACTTCGTGGTAAACAGTATTACAGTTGTATTGATTTAAAAGATGGATTTCATCATATCAAAGTAGCTGACGATTTGATTAAGTATACGTCTTGTACTACTCCGTTAGGATAATTTGAATATCTCCAAATGCCCTTTGGGCTAGCCAATGGACCCGCCCGTTTTGGTCGATTCATAAATGGTGTTTTTCAAGAATTTATCCATAAACAAGAACTTATTGTTTATTTTGACGATCTTTTAATTGCTACCGATACAATCGAGGAGCATTTAGATTTTCTTACTAAAGTTTTAGCAAGCATGCGTAAGAATAAACTGCAGATCAGGTTAGACAAGAGTAAATTTTTAATGCGTGGTATAATTTATTTAGGCTACTGGTGAGTCAATCTGGTATTCGACCAGGTCCGAAAAATGTAAGCGCAATCGATAACTACCCTGTTTCGAAAAATAAATTCACAATTTCATTGGCTTGGCATCATATTTTCGCCGTTTTATTCCCAATTTTGCATTAATAGCTAAACCATTATATAATTTATTGAAAAAAGATGCAGACTACTATTTTGGCGAAGAACAAATGACTTCGTTCAAATTAATTAAACTTAAATTAAGAGATCAGCCGTTGCTATCTGTATTTAATCCACATACCTAAATGGAACTCCATTGTGACGCAAGTAGCCAAGGTTACGGTTCTATATTACTTCAACAGCAGCCTGACGATAAGTTCCATCCGGTTTTTTATTATAGCCACCGAATAACTGAGACAGAGTCCAAATATCATAGCTATGAGCTAGAAATGTTGGCCATTATTAATTCAATTAAGCGGTTTCATATTTATTTACACGGTATTAAATTTAAAATTATCACCGATTGCAATATTGTTGCATTGACTTTATAGTTGCGACAACCCCCAAATCACCAGGTGGGCCATGTTTTTACAAAATTATATTTATGAAATTGAGCATTGATCGGGTACGCGTATGTCGCATGTCGACGCGTTAAGTCGATGTCAGCAATTATTAGTTTGCTATAGTATATTATGTTAGCTATTAGTAGTGTATCGAGTTGTATGATCCCAAATATGCCTCAGTATATAGCCAAAGAAATGGCCAAAGCTGAATACATTAGACGTGAAGCTGCATTTACAAAATCTTTATAGCTTCTGGATGAGCAACACCAAAACCGGGGTATTAGACAAGCAGTTAAAATATCCTTTAACTTTAAAATTATCCAGCTAAAATAATCATATAGTCTTATGTTTATTGTTATTACATCGAATCTAGCCTGGCAAATTTAACTCATCATAGTAAAATTATAATCAAGTTTTTGCTAAAATGTTAAATTTATTTTTTTATTCAATATTATATTTATATACTTGTAAATTTAAATTTTTTATTTAGTTATTCCGTTTAAAAAGTTAAATCACGAATATCTCATAAATTGAAGAACTACATAGTTTCCAAAGTTAATGATAAGACAATATTTTTAATTTATTGTAATAAATAAAATTATAATTTATCCTGTAAATTATAATTTACATTTCTCACATTATCAAATATTTCCCCAAAATACACCATCCAGAAAAGTTTACACAAAATTTCACATACATGGAAAGAAGTTTTTAAGGAAAAAAATGAAAATATCTTAAATTCTTTAATTTAATGTAAGAAATATTTACTTTTAACATGTAAATAAATTAAATAGGATATCTATTAATGAACAGTGAGATAACTTATATTTAAGAAAATAAAAAGTCTAGAAAACATCAGGATTTTAAAGAAATACAACAAAATATAATGCATTAAAATGTTTATCGCAATTGTTTATTGATAAACATAATATATTTTAGAGGATTAGCTATTTAAAAAAAATTATTAATTCTCGTATATTAATATACCGTTACCACAAATTAAAATTTTAATAAAATTCAATACAGATATAACTAATATAATTTTACCCT